CACAAAGACTACTGGCGTACTCTGGTGGCCGTGTTCTTCTCTACATTTTCTGGCCTCTTCTGCAGTTAGTTGGACCTTATGACTGGTTACAGCTAGTAGAATATGAGAGGAGAGATCAATGCCACTTTTGAGAGCAGACTGGTTAAATGTCCATTATTCTTTCTTTGTGGCCTCTTTCCCCTCCCTTACCAGAATCTACTACCTAAAAAAGTCAGATTACATTGAAGTCACATGACACAGAGCCACAAAATGGAAGTATCCTAAGTTTCTGAGTCTGCTTAGAGAGGCCAAACTTACATCAGATACAATATAAACAATAAATAAGCTCCTATTTATGAAATCACATAAACCTCTGGGTTTGTTGTTATGTGGTACAACCTATATTACCTTAATGGATAAATCCTGAGGTAGCTACTATTATTATGATTATGAAGACACTGAGACATAGCTAGATTAGGTAATTTGTGCAAGGCAAACAGCTAGGAAGTGGTGGAACTAGATGCATCTGACCAGTTTACTCGCAAGGCCCATACATATTTCTAGTATGCTACAGGCTCTCTACATGACCACTGGATAAAGGAGGCTTGTTCACAATCCAGTGGCATTATATCATGTGGCACAGTAAAGTATTTAAATTTCAGGCTTTAGAATTCAAATCCCTTCCCTGACACTTACATCACAGCTGGGCAAATCGCAAGGAATCCAAGCTTCAGTAAATACCTCTGTAAAATTGGAATAATAATTACAGAATCCAACTCAGAGTTGCTGTGGCGTAATACGTATAGATAGTAGACCATTCTCTGACCCACTGTAAATGCACACACTTGATTTCTTACTTCCTTCCAAAGATATTTCCCCCTCTATCTGTCTCCTTTACACCTGAATAGACCAGAGCCTAACCTTGACCTTTGCATTCCCTCTTTTCATTGATATTTCCTCTATCGGAAGTGGGTTTTTTTTTCCTTTTAAATTTGATTTTTAAATCCTATCAAACTTTTGATATTTAACCCAAAGTCTGACTCTGCGGCAAAGATATTTTTTCTTTATCACAGTAAATTAAAGTGGGATTTCTAAAGCGTATGTGTTGCCTACAATAATCATCTGACCTTGGTATTAGGTACTGAAATATAAGAGTCAAAGAGCACAAACTGAAACCAGATTTCATGGGTTTGAATTCTGGTTCTTCCATTAGCTAGCTGTGTAAATTTGGGCATGTTATTTAGCCTTTTTATGACTCTGTTTCCCCTGTAAAATGGGAATACTAGCTAGCTACTTTATCAGGCATAATGTAAGTATTAAATGAGAACAGTGCTGGGCACAAGGTAAACACTAAGACAGGGTTTGCTGTCACTATTAGTTTTCATGGCTATCATTTGTCGCATACATTTTACATCCTATCAAGATTATAAACATGGTTTAAAATCATGGAGTGCACAGAATTTCCTTTATAATGTCCAAAATGTTGGGACAATGGCTGGATATAGTAGGCATACACTAAATATTTGGTGATTTAATAAGAGCCTATAGTGTGGTTAGCCTTTGCATAGAAAATAGATTTCTGAATGTATACCATGTTCCAGGAATTGTGCCCAACAAAATATGTGACTTATCCCATTCAATTATCATAACTACCCCCATAAGATAGGTACTATTATTATTTCATTTTACTAGTGAGGTTCAGAGACATAGTTAAGTTGTTACTTGTCCAGGATCACACAGTATATGGCAGGAATAGGATGTCCTTGTTTAAAAACACAGTGATTTCCAAACTTTAGTGTGCATCAAATCATTCAAAGGGCTTATTTAAACACCCATTACTGGGACACCTGGATGGCTCAGTCATTAACCGTCTGCCTTCAACTCAGGTCATGATCCCAAGGTCCGGGGATCGAACCCCACATTGGGCTCCCTGCTCAGAGGGAAGCCTGCTTCTTCCTCTCCCACTCACCCGGTTTGTGTTCCCTCTCTCACTGTCTCTTTCTGTCATATAAATACAATCTTAAAAAAAAAAAAAAAAGGAATCACAGATTACTAAACATCATCCCTAGTTTCTGATTAAATGAGTATGGACAATGTCCAAGATTTTGCATTTCTAACAAGTGTCCAAGTGATGATGAAGTTGCTTGTCTAGAGATACACTTTTGAAAACCACTTCACTGGGTGATAGTCTTTCTTCTATACTACACAGCTTAAATTGCACCTAGAAACAGATGTTTCTAAAGTAGAAGTTGACAAGTTCTATTTAAAACATGTAAAAACATACCAGGTTTCCCTAAAAAATAGTGTAACCTTAGAAATTTATGTGGAAATTGAGCTTTAAAGAAAATAGAAAAACATTTTCTGGCAAAGATAATAACTCTACACAAGCTATCAAAAAGGAGCAAATTATACAAGTATTTGACTTGGCATAAAAATGCTATTTTCTAAAAAAAAAAAATACTGTTTTCTTAATGAAAGACCAATTAACAAATTCAGGAAATCAATACTTATGGAAAGAGAGTGTCAGAGGTTTGCAGTGGCCTCAGACAAGGGAGGGAGAGAGACTACTTCCTAGACTCTCTTATCTTGTTCTGCAAGTGGATTAAGTCAGATATAGGAATTTTAAACATGACCAGATCATTGGCTCTACCATAACATACATTCCTTTGGAAGTCTTCAGAAACAGGATCTTCCTGCCTGTGGCAACACATCATAGGAAAACCAAATCAGGACAAAGAATCAACTGCTTCGGCCCTAGGATCAGATATCACAACTTTCTTTTCAATTATGTATCCTTCCTTGTCTATATTTTATTCATAAATGTCTTATTTTTACTACCTGATCAAATTGATAAGATTAATAGATTTGATCCGAACTCTGAGGATTCTGAAAGAGGTTTTCCACCTGACTTTCAGTACATATTTGCCTTTCTCTATACTTAGTGTGTTGTTAAACTTATCTTGCTAAATTAGGCTATATGTCCTGTCTATTCTTGACTTCTGTCTTCATGTACCCATGACTTTCTATGATACAAATGTCAAATGTATAATAAATCATGTTAAACTGTTTTACAAATGAATGCTGCTAGACATAAAGAGAGAGAAGATCAGATCAGAATCATCAGCAGTACTAGAAGAGGGGACATATGCAAGGTCTTTCAGAATTCTGGGATTTAATTCATTTGGACCTGGGTAAATGAGTAATGCTCTGAGGATGTATAAGAGAAAACCACATAAGTCGAAGGACAAGAACCAGAGAGAAGCAAGAGGTAGAAAATTAACAGGAATCCATATAGGGCTGGGAATAATTCTTACCAGCCAAAGGTGAAAGGATATCTGTAAGAGGCACCAGGCAGTCAGTTCCAGAGCAGAAAAGCTAAACTGGCACTAGTCTAAAGATTTCTTTGAGACTTCCCTAACAGAACTTAAAAACAAGCTTTAAAAGCATCTCACTAATTTCAAGTAACTTAGTTGCTGTACATCAGAAGCAAAATAGATGTTGCCTAAAGAAAAAGAACAAAATTCAGAAATCGACAGTACCAAATTTAAGGTGTCCAGAATATAATCATAATTGACCAAGCATGCAAGAAGCAGGGCAACATGAGCCAGAATTGGGGGAAAAAATCAACAAAACTAGACCCCAAGCAATACAGATAATGAAATCAGCAGACAAGGATTTTGAAACAGCTATTACAAATATTCTTCATATGTTCAAGGTGATTCAGAAAAACATGAGCATGATTAGGAGAAAAACTGCAGATATTAAAAAAAAATAAATGAAATTTTTACAGATGAAAAACATAGTATCTGAACTCTGAACTGATTAAGTCTGGATTTAACAGCAAAATAAATATGTTAGAGGAAAATATCAGAAAGCTTGAAGATACAGCAATAACTGTCTAGAGTGAACTACAGGCAGAAAAAAGGCATAATATATAGAAGAACAGAGCAATAGCAACTTCTAGAATATATCAAGTGATCTGATATTGGTGAAATTGATATCCTAGTTGTACAAGAGAGGAAGGAGGCAGGAAAAATTTGTGAAAAAATAATGGGCAAAAAATGTCTAAATTTTATGGAAATGACAAATTCATCAGATTCAAAGGCTCAGTAGATCTTAAAAAGAGTAAATCTATATAAAACCACAGCAAAACACATTATAATCAAAGTACTGAAAACCATTGATAAGATAAGATTTAGAAGTCTCCAAAGAGAATGTCAGCAGACTTCTCATCAGAAACAATGAAATCCATTAAGGAGTAGGGAGACATTTTTAAAGTCTGAGGGAGCCAACTGACTGCAAAGGGGCATGACATAATTTTTTTAAGGTGGTAAAAATGTTAATATCTTACTTGTGGTGGTTTTTATACCATATTCAAACTCATAAATAGAACTGACAAAGTTTGTTGTATGAAAGTTTTCTCAAAAACGCTCATCAGGAAGAAAAGATGCTGGTCAATTTGGGGGGAAATTGTGTTAGCACAGCATGAGAATTTCAGTTTAGAAACATTTTTTTAAAGAAGAAAATTGATCTAAAATATTACAAAACATTTTTTCTTCTATTACTTCTAGGCACTGAAATATTTCAAAGAGAGGCATGGATTCACATAACCTTACAAGTCATACTTTAATAGACATCAAGTCTCTTTTGAGTTACTGACAGAAAAAATAATCTTAAGTAGCGAGCTACGTGATTTAGATAACATGTAAAAAGTAATTCCCAATAAGTGTGTTTTCTATAAATACAAGCCCCAAGTTAACCTTATACTAAAATTGTCACACAGTCAATGGTATGGATCAAAATAATCATTTTAAATTTGCATAGCTCATACATTTGCGAAAATTATTTTAGGTTGAAGAGATTTTTAAAAGTACTATTGCAAAAATTTCTTATTTTGAATAACTTTTAAATTATTTTTGTTACCTTTTCCCAAGCAATGAATATACATGAACAATTTTCATCAAATTGTGTTTTCTGCAACTATAATAAAGTATATAATAGAGTGCAACAATGTTTCTTACCTCCAGTTTATTTCTTGAAGAAGTGGGTTTCCAGTGATAGACAATTCATGGAGAGAATAGCATGCATCAAACCACCTAATGGCACTTGTAAGATCTATAGAAAATAAACAATAAAAATCATTATAGAAGGTAATTACAGAGAAAGAAAAATAATCATAAATCAATGACCACTTATTTACTGGTAGGTATTAAAGTTATAAAAATTATTTATTTTGCAGAATACAATATACTTTTAAAAAGGGACTATGCTAAGAACACAGATTCTGGGGGCACCTGGGTGGCTCAGCCGTTAAGTGTCTGCCTTTGACTTAGGTCGTGATCCCAGGGTTCTGGGATCCAGCCCCACAAGGGGCTCCCTGCTCCATGGGAAGTCTGCTTCTCCCTCTGTCACTCCCCCTGCTTGTGTTCCCTCTCTATGTCTCTCTCTCTTTCAAATACATAAATAAAATCTTTAAAATTACATATTTTTTTAAAAAATTTAAAAATTAAAAAAAAAAAAGAGCACAGACTCAGCTGTTAGAATATATATTTCTCCCATTTAGCAGCTTTGTGAACCTATGCAAACCATACAATTGCTTTGTGATTCAGGCTCATACCTATCTTACTGGATAAGGGTTAAATGAGGTAATGTGTGTAGGGCTTAGAAGAGTTTTTGCCAGAGTTAGCACGAAATCTGAAGAAGTGAAATCTGAAGTAATAAGTGGTAAAACTGAACACATACTTAGAGTTACGTGGACCTCTTTTACTTTCAAAAGTAAGAATAGTAGGTCAGTCTAGGATACATTACAGAGTAATTTATAATAAATTGTTCTCCCACAGAATAATATCATAAAACTAGACAATACATAGGAAGCACTTGTTTTTAAACCTTACTCTGAGAGAAGGGAAACATACCTGGTGAGCCTACAATCACAGGGGTTTTCTGTCTGAATGCAGTTTACCACTTCAGAGCAGTGAGACCAAATAAAGAAGCTCTTTTGCTGACTGAGGAGGCAAATATTAGAACAAGCTGGAATTTATGATGAAAAGTACTGACAAGAAGCTGTGTATATGTATATTGTGAGGAGGGAACTGGGGGAAGAAGTCTATGTGAAGATTCACCACAGGTCCACAGACAAGTGTGAGGTGTCACACACACAGGGAAAGGTCAAAAAACTGAGCAGAAATCACCAGCTGTAAGGATGAAGGCTGAATGATGACAGTAAGTTCATGTAGTAGTAAGAGGCACTGGAGTCTCAGCCTAGCCGAAATGAGACCTAATTGAGTATCTCACAGATTGAGCTACAATCCAGAAAGACTATGCAGTAGGAGTGAACACAATGCCTTGGGGTAGGGGCATGAACTGAGTTAAAAACTAAAATGGCTCGTCCTAAGAGTGAATGAAATTAAAGAAGACAGGAAAAAAAAAAAAGTACCCATAAATGCTTTAACTGCCTGCCAGAACTGAACATAACTACCATTAAAAGGAAGACAACAATTTCTACTCACTAAACTGTATTATATACAATGTTCAATAGGTAGTTAAAAACTACTAGACATATCAGGGCACCTGAGTGGCTCAGTTGGTTAAGCATCTGCCTTTGGCTCAGGTTATGATCTCAGGGGACCTGGGATGGAGCCCTCCATCGGGCTCCCTGTTTAGTCAGGGTCCTGGTTCAGGGGGGCTCCCTGTTCAGCTTCTCCCTTTCCTTTTGCCCATCCCCTGTGCTTGTGCTCTCTCTTTCTCAATAAATAAAGTCTTTTTAAAAATTACTAGACATATCAAACAAAATGGATTTTACTTCAGACAAAACACACTTTAAAACAAAGACTGTAATAAGAGACAAAGAAGAGTGTTACATAATGATAAAAGGGGTCAATCCAACATGAGGATATAACGTTGTAAACATTATGTACCCAATGCAGGAACATCTAAATATTTAAGGTGAATATTAACAGCCTTAAAGGGAGAAACAGACAGCAACACAAATCATAGGGGACTTTAATATTTCACTTACATCAATGAATAGATTATCCAGACAGAAAGTCAAGAAGGAAACATCAGTCTTAAACAACATGTTAGACCAGATGGACTTAAGAAATCATGTCAATGAACAGACATTTCTGCAAAGAAGACATCCAGATGGGCAACAGACACATGAAAAAAGTGCTCCACATCACTCGGCATCAGGGAAATACAAATCAAAACTACAATGGGATACCACCTCACACCAGTCAGAATGACTAAAATTAGCACGTCAGGAAATGATAGATGCTGGCGAGGATGCGGAGAAAGGGGAACCCTCCTACACTGTTGGTGGGAATGCAAGCTGGTGCAACCACCCTGGAAAACAGCATGGAGGTTCCTAAAAAAATTGAAAGTAGAGCTCCCTATGACCCAGCAATTGCACTACTGGGTATTTACCCTAAAGATACAAACATAGTAATCTGAAGGTGCACGTGCACCCAAATGTTTATAGCAGCTATGTCCACAATAGCCAAACTATGGAAAGCACCTAGATGTCCATCACCAGATGAATGGATAAAGAAGATGTGGTGTGTGTGTATATATATATATATATACACACACACACAATGGAATAATATGCAGCCATCAAAAGAAATGAAATCTTGCCATTTGCGACAACGTGGATGGAAATAGAGGGTATTATGCTTAGTGAAATAAGTCAATTGGAGAAAGACAACTATCATATGATCTCCCTGATATGAGGAAGTGGAGAAGCAACATGGGGGCTTGGGGGTTAGGAAAAGAATAAATGAAACAAGATGGGATCGGGAGGGAGACAAACCATAAGAGACTTAATCTCACAAAATAAACTGAGGGTTGCCGGGGGAAGGGAGAAAGAGGGTGGTGGGGTTATAGACACTGGGGAGGGTAGGTGCTATGGTGAGTGCTGTGAAGTGTGTAAACCTGGTGATTCACAGATCTGTACCCCTGGGGCTAATAATACATTATATGTTTATAAAAAATTTTTAAAAAAAGACTAAAAATGACCACTTGCTAAGAAAATAGCAAGTATCAGTTAAAAAAAAATCATGTCAAGCATCTTTTCCAACACAATGATATGAAACTAGAAATCAGTTAGAAGAGGAAAATGAAAATTCACCAATATGTGGAGATTAAACAATATACTATCAAACAACCAATTCTTCAAAGAAGAAATCAAGAGGAATTAAAAAAGATATCTTGAGACAAATGAAAATGGCAATGTAATATACCAAAATTTATGGGATGCAGCAAAAGCAGTTCTAAGAAGGAAGTTCACAGTGATAAATGCCTTCCTCTAAAAATAAGAAACATCTCAAATAAACAATCTAACTTTACACTTCAAGGAACCAGAAAAAGAAGAACAAAGCCCAAAGTTATTAGAAGGAAGAAAATAATAAAGATTGGAGCAAAAATAAATTAAATGAAGACAAAAAAGACAAAAAGATCTATAAAGCTAAGAGCTGGTTCTTTGAAAAGATAGCAGAAATGGCAAACATTAGCCAGACTTAAGGAAAAAAAAAAAGACTCAAATAAATAGAATTAAAAATCAAAGAAATGGTACAAGTTTTACCATAGAAATACAAAGGATCATAAAAGACTACTAGGAAAAATTATATGCCAAAAAATTGGAACAACTAGAAGAAACGGATACATTCCTAGAAACATACAACCTACCAAGATTGACTCATGATGAAATAGAACACCTGAACAGATCAATTACTGTAAGATGATTGAACCATCTTAATCAAAAACCTCCTAAGGAACAAAAATCCAAGATCAGACAGCTTCACTGGTGAATTCTATAAAACATTCACAGAAGGATTAATACTAATCCTTCTCAATCTCTTCCAAAAAATAAGAGAGCAAGAACTCTTCCAAACCCATATTATGGAGTCAGCATTCCCTGATACAAAAACTAGACAAGAACACCACAAGAAAATTATAAGCCAATATTCCTGACAAACATAGATACAAAAAATCTTCAGTAAAATATTAGCAAACTAAATTCAATAATATATTAAAAACACATCACCATGATCAAGTAGGACTTATCAACATCCACAAATCAGTCAATATAATATATCACATTAACAAAACAGAAGATAAAAATCATATGATTATCTCAGACAATGCAGAAAAAGCATTTGATTAAATTCAGCATCCACTTTTGATAAAAAATGCTCAATGAAGTGGGTATAGATGGAATGTACCTGAACATAATAAAAGCCATATATGACAAACCCACACTAACCAGCTATTATCATCCTTAATGGTGAAAAGGTAAAGCTTTTCCTCTAAGATCAGGAATAAGACAAGGATATCCACTCTCACAACTTTATTCAACACAGTTTTGGAAGTCTTAGCTAGAGCAGTTATGTAAGGAAATAAAATAGAAGTTATCCAAATCAGAAAGGAAGAAGCAAAACTGTAGCTATTTGGAGATGACATGATATATAGAAAATCCTAAAGACTCAATCAAGAAACTTTTAGAACAAATAAGCAAATTCACTGAAGTTTAAGGATACACAATTAATACACAAAAATTTATTGGGCTTCTTTACACAAATGAGCCATCAGAAAAAGAAATTAAGAAAACAATCCTATTTATAATTGCATCAAAAAATAAGATACCTAGGAATAAATTTAACCAAAGAGGTGAAAGACCTATATATTTAAAACTAAAAGATACTAACAAAAAGAACTGAAGAAGACAAATAAATGGAGAGATATGTCACGTGCTAGATTGGAAAAATTAATACTGTTAAAATGTCCATCCTGCCCAAAGCAATATATATATTCAATGTAGCCCCATCAAAATCCCAATAGCATTTTTCACAGAAATAGAACGAGCCTAAAATTTATATAGAACCACAAAAGACTCTGAATATGTAAAGCTATCTTGAGAAAGAACAAAGTTGGAGGCATCATGCTCCTTGATTTCAAACTATATTACAAAGCCATAGGCACTAAAATGGTATGGTATCAGCATAAAAAGAGACATAGAGATCAATGAACAGAGACCCAAGAATAAACCTACACATATATGTTTAATTAATTTATGACAAAGGAGTCAAGGATATACAATGGGGAAAGAATAGTCTCTTCAATAAGTGATGTTGGGAAAACTGCATAGTCACATACAAAACATGAAACTTGACCATTGTCTTACACCATATACAAAAATTAACTCAAAATGGGTTGAAGATTTGAACATAAGACCTGGAACCATAAAACTCATAGAAGAAAACACAGGTGATAAACTGATGATTTTTTAAAATCTAACACCGAAAGAAGCAACAAAAGCAAAATATGAAGTTAACCTATGGTGACAAATTTAGAACTATGATTGTTTCCATGAGGGGACTGACTGAAAACTGAGATGTGTAAATTTAGGTAGGGACTGGTCAGTTAAATCAGTTGATCATTCTTTAAGTTAATAAACTTTTAACGGGTGTTTGTACATGTTAGAAGTCAACAAGTTAGACAAATTAATTTACTCATCTTCATTAGGCTATTTACTTCACAGGTAAAAGATACATGAATTCAAATAAAAATCTAATTGTGGTATTTGCCCAGGTGTACCAGAAAGATATGGAAATAATATGATTTTATTTTATTTGTTTTAAAGATTTTATTTAGGGCAGCTGAGTGGCTCAGTTGGTTCAGTGACTGCCTTTGGCCAAGGTCATGATCCTGGAATCCCAGGATCAAGTCCTGCGTCAGGCTCCCAGCTCCATGGAGAGTCTGCTTCTTTCTCTGACCTTCCCCCCTCTCATGCGCTCTCTCACTCTCTTTCTCAAATAAATAAAGAAAATCTTTAAAAAAAAAAAAAAGATTTTATTTATTTATTTATTTATTTATTTATTTATTTATTTGACACTGAGAGAGGGAGAGAGAGAGTACAAGCAGGGGGAGCAGCAGAGGGAGAGGGAGAAGTAGGCAGGACCCTGGGATCATGACCTGAGCTGAAGGCAGACGCTTAACTGACTGAGCCAGCCAGGTGCCCCAATAATACAATTTTAAAAGTGGAAAGAAATTTAATAGGATGATTTTACCATGCCTTTGAAGGAAGTAGAGGGCAAGAAAAATATATACAAACAAACTTACGGAAAAAAAAATGACAAGTATTCTTTTTTTCTAAATCTATGTTGTATCAGTTTAATTCTTAGGCCTAGCCTAGTATCTTAAGAGGGTGCAGGATAAATTTTTCCTCATCTATGCCTTATTGTATGGATATGTTATTTGTACATGCCATTAACACATCTATCCAAAACAACTCCCTTACCACATTTGGGAAAGAAACTCAAAAGCTCATTATATACTTATTAAAAATTATATATTTTTCTAAACTTACCAGAAAGACAATTGTTGCTGACATCTAGTTTTTCCAAAGAAACAAAATGAAAAAGTGGTATGATTTTGGTCAAGCTGAAAACAAAGAAATAAAATTCATAAAAATTTTAAATAGGGATGTCCTTATTATGACGTAAATACATAATAACATATTTACTAACACAATCATGATAATATTCAATTGTATGTAATTATATACATATATAATTGTACAATAAAATACAATTATGACAATAATAGTACTAATTAAAAATGTAGTAATTATAAAATTCCAAGTATTTATTCTATAATGGAAGATTTATATTCATTTTTAAAGGGAAATTACCATGGACTGTCAATTTCAATGACCAATATCATCGAGTTTAATGTTTACTGACTATTTAAATAAAAATAAATATATTTTTATTATTATTGATTTTGTTTTGCTTTTATAAAAGGCCTAATTTATAGAGAATTTATATTATCTTAATGTTTCCTGGCTCAAGCACATAACTTAAACCATTAAGAGGTAAAAATTTAAAAATATATATTTTTTACTTTTTGACAGTGTAACAGCTTAGAGTTACTAGTTTTGTTTTTAATTAATTTTTTTTTTTGTTTACCAGATTGAAAGTATTATAAGTACTACAAGTATCCAAAGTTACACTAAGATTATTTCTAAGTTAGAAATATGCTTCCAGGGGCACCTGGCTGGTTCAGTGTGTTAAGCCTCTGTCTTTGGCTCAGGTCATTATCGCAGGGTCCTGGGATTGAGTCCCACATCAGGCTCTCTGCTCAGCAGGGAGCCTGCTTACACCCCTCCTCTCTCTCTCTGCCTGCCTCTCTGCCTACTTGTGATCTCTCTGTCAAATAAATAAATAAAATCTTAAAAAAAAAAAAAGAAATATGCTTCCAAGGAACATAATAGTAGAAAATATTTTATATAGATAGAATAAGCAAGTTTGGCAGAAATATGCTAATATTTTAAAATAATACTTATTATTAATACATATATATATTTAAATTCTAGTAATACTGACTTTTCCTCCTACTTTTTAAAAGTTTCTAACATTTTCTAAGATATAATTGTCATTAAGAACCCAAATACAAGCAAGGGATGTAAGTGATATTCAAAATATTCACATCGTTGGGAATAAAAGCCATGAAGGGAAAATTAATTTAGTTTGATGTGCATTTCCAACTAAGACAAGTCTACACTTATTCTGTAATATAATATCACATTACCATAGCTATTTGGAAATAAAAATTAAGCCAAGCCTTCTAAATCTTTAAACAACAGAAAAATTCCTTTGCTTCAAATATAATCTCATAACAAACACAAGTGTCCTGAATCAACCCCACCCCTCTAAATGTTGGAACTCCATACAGTTCATAATATGCCTCAACTACAGAATATTTCTGGTACCAAAGGAAAAAAAAAAGTATGCACTAATTTCTACTTCTTTTGTTTTCTTGTTTTTTATGCTGTCCTTCTAGTTGTCCTGGCAGATATTTTTACATCTTTATTTCTACCATCTCCCTGTCATGAAAAAAGAAAATCTATTATTCTGAGGTCAGAAGCTTATAGAATAATACTGTGACTGGGAAGCCTCATGGGGTCTGGCACAAAACTAACACTGGTACTAACCTTGACTCCTTTCTTGTACTATCCTGCTCTGCATTAGCAGAGAGATAGAACTACCTATGAAAACCAGACCAAATAATGAGGCTGGAAAAAGTTCTCTCTGACTGTAGTTAAACCTAAATACAATATTACTATTTATATCAAACCTACACAACACCACTTTGTAAATACAATTTCTAGGAGGAAAACACCCAAGGTAATAAAAGAAAAAATGATAAAATATTGGCATTACATCTTTTTCATTATTTGTATATATACTACCAAATAGTAAAATTTACTGAAATGTCACATGTACACTGAAAAAGAAAGAAGGAAGGAAGTGAGGGAGGCAAGGAGGGAAGGAAGGGAGGAAAGAAGGAGGGAAGGAAGGAAGGAAAATTAAAATTTTGTTGATACATAATTAATGAATTTAAGTCCTAGTGTTATGATTTTCCTACTCAGGCATATTTTGGATCATTATTATTATAAGTAAGAAATTTAAGTTTTTCAATATAATTCTAATACATTTATCAAGAAGAAAATTCTTACTTGTTTTGTAGCTTTAATTAATTTTCTAATACTAAATCTTTGTCCTTCTACTAAAAAGGTTTTGAAAGATAAAGAGGTCAAGAGTTTTCCTCTTTTTTTCAGATGATTTCATGGTTTTAACCAGTAAGTTATATATGGCAAAGTATAGGTAACATATAGGTTATATGAAGACAATCAGTAAAATAACCAATGAAGTCACAGAATTAAAAATAAAATTCTCTTTTCAAAAATCAATCCAAGTAAAGAAATATTTGGTTTGACAAAATATTTTACATTAAAATTTTATCTTTTCAGATAACCATTCTTTTAGAATCATGTTCTTTTTCTTTTTAATAAAATTTTGATCTAGAAAACTGGCTATTCATTCACCTTTATGACTATTCATTAGGAAGGTAGAAACCTAATAGTAGAATTCTTTTTTTTAAATCTCTAGAACTTTTCCTTTTACTGACAATCTGTGTATATTTTTTTCCAAGAAAATTCAAACCAGAAAGACAAAGGACATTAGTGAAAACCTAATACCATTTGACCTTGTCACATTAGCCCTGGGCATAAAAAAGATATAAATTTCAAAGACGACAAAAAGCAAAAGATTTGTACAATGAGCAGCCAATGGGTAATAGTTTCCACTTTCTGCTCCTACTTAGACTACTTAGAGTCTCACTGGAAGTAGAAAGACATAAAGCCAAGAGTCTTCCAGTTAGGACTCCGCGGAGTCAAACTTAAAACAGTCATATGTCCTAATGAAAATTTAAAACAGAAGTCAAGATGAAACATGGATTTCAAACAATATGTACTTAGTATCATTTTTTATTATATTTCACTTTGAGGGGAAAAAGCATATGGACACATAATTTCTTTCTTGTGGCGAAGATATCAGAAATTAAAAGAAAAATATATACAATTTAAAAGACACACCAATCACAAATCCAAATATCACATTTATAAAACTCATCTGAGGTTTGCAAAATGTATTGACATATATTTTCCTTTTGGATCAATATTTGGCATTCCATCAAATAGATAAGATAGGTATTACTACCCCTTTTACATGTAAATAAAAAACCCAGGCTCTGGTAGTACGAAGAGAGTTATTCAAGGTCAACTGACTGGTAAGTTGTAGATTCAGCATTCAGAGTTGCTGATCCTGAGTTTTACCAAACCTGATATAGCTGTGAAAAAGTCAATGCACATGTAAAATCTTAATGTACAATGGATAATTCCTATAGTTAATGGTATTAGCTTATTGTGAAAAATCCTAAGGTTGAAGATCATTTTTACACTATGATTTCAAGAAATGATTTTACTACTCTCTATGTCCATTTCTATCAATCATATTTCTCTGCTCAGCAGGGAGCCTGCTTCCCTCTCTCTCTCTCTCTCTGCCTGCCTCTCTGCCTACATGTGATCTCTCTCTGTCAAATAAATAAATAAAATCTTAAAAGAAATGATAGAAAATTAAATGTGCAAAGAACTATGAGAGACCATAAAGAATATACTTAAGACAGTATTCTTAAAAAATTTAATGTTTATAGCAGCAATGTCCACAACAGCCAAACTATGGAAAGAACCTAGCTGGCCATCAACAGATGAATGGATAAAGAAGATGTGGTGTCTATATACAATGGAATACAATGCAGTCATCAAAAGAAATGAAATCTTGCCATTTGCGACAACGTGGATGGAACCAGAGGGTATTATGCTTATTGAAATAAGTCAATCAGAGAAAGACAACTATCATATGATCTCCCTGATATGAGGAAGTGGAGAAGCAACGTGGGGGGTTTAGGGGGTAAGAAAAGAGATGGGATCAGGAGGGAGACAAACCATAAGAGACTCTTACTGTCACAAAACAAACTGAGGGTTGCTGAGGGGAAGCGGGGGAGAGGGTGGTGGGGTTATGGACATTGGGGAGGGTATGTGATATGGTGAGTGCTGTGAAGTGTGTAAACCTGGCGATTCAGAGACCTGTACCCCTGGGGCTAATAATACATTATATGTTTATAAAAAAATTAAAAATTTTTAAAAATTTTAAAAAATTAAAAACACCATATATTATTATATAATAAATTAACTTCTTTTTTTACATAGTTAAATTCAAAAGATTAAGTTCTTTCATTCTTGAATTTTTTAATAATTTTTTAATGATTTATTTATTCAACTGAGAGGGAGAGAGAGAGAAAAAGCAGGGATGGGGAATGGGCACAGGGAGAGAGAGTCTCAAGCAGACTCACCCTTGAGCATGGAGCTCCATGCAGGCCTCGATCTTAAGACCCTGAGATCACGACCTGCGCTGAAACCAAGAGTTGAATGCTGAATCCACTGCACCATCCAGGCACCCCTTAGGAGTTTTTTTATGCTAAGGACATATATTACTTAGTTCTATGCCCCCCACCCCGCAAATAGAAAACATGACATCAATATCCAAATGTTACAAGGTTAGGCAAATGTCAACTTACAAATAAGGATTATTTGGATTAAGTACCCCAAAGAAATGTCTAGTGATCTAGTTGATCTAATTCTTAGTCGTATCAGATTGATATGGGAAATAAGTCATATCAGACTGATAGGGCAAAAGTCTATCAGCTAGTATTAATTTTAACTATTAAAAGGAGATTTCTTTGATAGTTTAAATTGTCCAAAGAAATTAAAGGCATTATTTCTCAAAAAAATGGTATTGATTTGAATATTTTCTAATCTCTTTTAATATTATTTTTGCTCACTAATGTGGCTTGAGATCCACTTCTATAAAATGAGGTATTTAAAAAAAAAATGTATGAGGTATGTCAGTTACTGAGTGATTTACTGCATATGTCCAAACCATAGCTAAGCATTTCTATTGAAATTGTGTTTCTTACCTGGAAAATATTGTAAAAAGATCCAATAAGTTTGTGGATGCCCAAATTATTTAAACTGTTATCTGATAGAGCTGGCTCTACAATAAATCCCCCTTTAAAACCAAATCAACTTTCATATGTTAGATCATTGAAATAATTTGAGGGGATTTTTGAATACAGATTCAGTTTTTGCTTTGTCAAATAGTGGAATAGTTTAGTAGGTGGAAGTTAAATCATTTGGCCCATAAATGCTCAAAGGATGAGCACTACTGTGGAGAGATTGTGAGAAAATTTTAGGGTTCTTTTAGGAAAAAAAGTATGCATTAAAATCGGGTTATACTTGTTCACTTGTTCTGTAAGAGTTGTATAACTCAAAAAAGCAATTTCTTGTTAAAGGTGGTTTCTTTCCTCTACTCCCTGTGCCTTTGATGAACAAATTAATCATATTAGAGTGAATAGGTTTCAATGAAATATTAAGCAGAGGGAGACATACACACACTGTGCTCCTGTTTTGGTTTTAGACAGTTATTCTCTGCAAAGATCCAGATGTTTGGTGGTTTCAAATGAATCTTCTGTGTCAGGTACCCATCTCAGTTTAATGTTAAGGTATTTTTTTAAGTGTTACTTTATATCCTTAGGGAAATCGAATTTAAATCAATCTTAACAGTTACAAAGACATGCAAGTTCAGAGCAGATTAAAAATCGTTCTTCCAGGACTTAATAAATACCACTTGAGAGAATGAGACATCCTTCTGAATTAAATTAACTACCTCCTGCATTTTCCAAGGACTATATTCTTTACAAATATAAACAAACTAGCTCTGGGAGATTTCTACAAGTATGTCTTTGAGAAGAAACAAAATGAGTAGGATAAGTGACAGTTAAAATTCTACTAAAATTTGAGGGTTTGCCAATATACTACTTTGTCAAATCCTATAAAGATATATTTCTAATTTATGTACTAATTTATTGTGATGCACTTCCACTGAATTGCTGGTAAAATCTAATAACCTTTCTACTTGTTATGAAGATCAAGCATTTACTTCAAACAGTCATTCAATGCATTTAGTGCTTATGCAGTTTGTTTTTACCTGTTTTGAGAGATAGTCAGGTTCTGTAGTAAAGGCAGCCAATAGGAAGAAAGTGCTTCCACAGTTGAAATGCTGTTATCATCCAAGTGCAATTCTCTTAGTAGAACATGATTCTCCAAGGATGGAAGCTATATTTAAATTTGGGTCACTAGCTTATATTAAGTAAAATATTTTTGTCATTCAACAAAATTTAAAAACATAAAACCTATTAAAACTAACAAAAGGTATAGTCTGTTAAACTGTATATCTAAATCAAAGTATAATGTTATGAGAATTTTAGGATGAATAAAATCTATAAGAATTAACTTTATAATTAGAATTTTTTAAATAAACATTACTTCATGGTAAATTTTATTTAGAATTTCATTACAGATACATTTGGCTCCACTTACATATGAAAATATAACTGAAAATTATGATTTATTTTAGTGTTGTGAAAAACTTATGTTAGTTTTTTACAAAATATTCTATGTTGAACTTTTTTTAATAGAGATAAGTATGTGACAGTTTTAAGTAAACTGAAAGTCATATACAGATGATAAACAAAAACAAAGAAAAATTAAAGTTCCTTTTAATTTTTTCTATCAAAAGAAAAATGTTGTATTAATCACAGAAGCCAATAATTCAAAGAAATTACCTCACTTAGATAATTTCCCTGTAACTTCAGTACCTGGAGCAATCCACAGTTTTCAATACCTTCAACTTTAGTTAGATGATTATGTGAGCAATCCAGGTATATAATGGTAGGAGTATCACAAAGACCTTTTGTACTAATTAACTGATTGTGGTCCACAATTAGTTGCTGAAGATTCCTCAAAGATTCTAAACCACCTGGAAGAAAAATTTTCCAAGATCACTTATATCAAACATTCTTCTAGAATCTAAGATGCAATTTCAAATTAATTGTACCTATTTTCCAATCTTTCTAATTACAAGTGAAGATTTAGCCCCTATTCTTCTGAAAAATGTGTAAGTGTAAAAAGTATCCTTTTTTAAACTTGTATCTAAAATATATATTTTTGAATGACATTGTTATATACCAATTGAAAACTGAACAAAATGCTAAAAAGTATACATTGGGTGGGCACTGATGTTTTATTTTATTTTCAAAGGCAACAGAACACGGGAGAAATAGAAGGACTTGTTTTCTCAAAAAAAAAAAAAGTTTCCAACTCAGTTTTAGGGTCTTTGAAGTTTGATTACTTCCTTAAGATTGAATATATAATGTTGGAATGCTATTTTCCTACCATCCCATTGAGATAGCTATCTTAAATTCCCAAGTGAAGTAGGTGCAACCATATTAACAACAATGAAATATTAACATATTCTTCAGGTATTTCAAGATTGACACATGTATCCTCCTTGTTGCCCAGATAAGGTTAAAACTAATATGATACTATATAAAAAATACCAGAGGAATCCTCAACTATAGCTCAGCACTTACAAGGAAAAAACTGAAAAGGCTGTTCAAGTAAGCCATCAGGAATTAGCACTGGAAAGAAATGCTGAGGAAGTCTGTAAACATTTCATGAAAGATACTAAAAATCTAGAAAATTTTACTTAGATTGAATATTGGACTAGATATGATATCTTTAGGTTTCCACACTATTACATGAAATAGGCAGTTCTAGAAACTGGAAATATGGTTTAAGTTCTAAAGTAGGTACTGGTAAACAGACGGTCTTCAGTGAGTATTGTACATATGGGAGTCATTGAGGCTGGACCTTGGAGAATCAAGCTTCATTGTGATTTTCTTGTTGAGCCCCAAAATATTTTATTCAATTTAATGTTGGAATAAACATGAGTTTTTTGCCCCCCAAAAAAGTTATTTGATAAGAAACTGAAAGATAATCTTGAAAAAAACATAATTAACATATAAAAACAATATCTAGAATTTATGTAATAAATTTATCCTGGAGAAATTTAAGGCACTAACTCAAGGTTTGTTCTTTTGATTATACATTGTAACTTACAGAAAGAAAGGGCAGACAGTTGGCTTATATGAAAATGGAGAAATAAAAGGAAGAATCAAGTAATATTACCAAGATTTCACAAGAAAACTTATTGCTGTACCACATTTTAAAAATTTAGATAATAGAATTGAGTGTATTGTACCAATATTTCATAGAGATACGTTTGAAGAAAAATTATATTTTAAAATTGCAGTGTTTCTAATAGTTTGAGTCAAAAGAACATAATATTATGGGTGCTTATTCTGTATAAAAAGGAATACATTTTTATGCTAAAGAGTTAATTTTCTTATAATGATAAATTACACATTATCTAGGAAAATACATAGAAAGACCCATAGAAGAGAGGGACTTAAATTTAAATTTAGGAAGTAATTTTACATTTTTTAAGTTCTTATCTAGGATTGATGTACTGGTATTTTCCTGTAATGTAAAATAGCAAGTATGACTTAGAAAAAAATTGTCATCTGTTATTGTTCAAGGAGCGAATAGTTCTGCCCAATGAGACAGTTGACTAAGTTTAAATAACAGAGTCAACTATCTTATATATATTATATATTATACATTATCAATTCCAAGTTATTAAAAATAGAATATTACATACAATAGTATATATTAGCTGAAATGTAATTTTAAAGTCTGCTGAAATAGAAAATACTTTGGAATTTAGTATGCCTTATGATCATATTGAACGAACATCAATTAACCCCCTGAAGCAGTTTAAAGACATTCAAGGAGGAAGGAAATAATAAAAGTTTATAATTGTGTAAAATAAGGTGTCCTTTATCAAATATTTAAACATCCCAAGCAATCTACTTCCATAAGCTTAGTATTTTTAAAAACCATGGACATTACTCTTAAGTTTTTCAGAGCTATTGAGAACTAGAATCTTCTATTAACTCATTTAAAGTTGGGAATGCATTGGTGAGCCTTCTCAAAGGTAACCCAAGAAGAGAACCAAGAATGAAACATCATTAAAAAAAGTATCTTAATGACAAAAAAAGGAAATCATTTAAAGAATATGTGGAACTGAGGTCTGCCAACAAACAAGTGAATGAGCTTGGAAGTAGATCTTTCAGCTTCATTGAGCCTTGAGATGATACTAATCCTGGATGACAGCTTGACTGCAACCTCTTGAGAGATCCTGAGACATAAACACCCAGTTAAGCCACTCCAAGATTCCTGATCCAAAGAAAATATGCAAAGTGTTTGTGATTTTAGATTGCCATTCTAGGGCAATCACAATATATATTTGCTTCACAACAATATATAACTAATACAGTAAAGATTCTATTTGAAAGAAAATATGAGAAAGAAGTAAATATGTTGAAAATGCTTTGGGCAATAGAAGGATATTTAAAGAAATTTAATGTAACAAGAATTCAAAGATATTAAAATAACAGAAACAGATAAATAAATGGACCAAAATAACACCATGACAGAACTAATAAATAATTTTGAAACAACATTGTACATTAACAGAGAGCTACAGCTTGGATTGCCCACAAAAAAAGAGATCATCACACTGAGAATAAAATATGAAGAAAGCCAAAAATAAAAAGACATAGATTAAATTAATTAAATAATAATAGACATGAAAGACAAACTCAACCAAAATATGGATCATCTATGATTGAAAAATAGAACCAAAACAAAAAAGTTTTCAAATATATGAAAACCAAAATTTTCCAGAAACAAAGGAATAACTTAATCTGTAGTTTGAAAGGTACATTATATTCCAATCCAATTTTATGTGGATTTATTGACTATAGGATGTTTCTTGGTTAAGTTACTGACTAAGGACAAGGAGTGTTATTCAGGTATCTTCATAGAAATCAGTTATAAGGACAGAAAATCAAGTTAGCCTCTTACTTGCAATAGCAATACATAATATCATGTATGCAGTGAAGCAAGGTCACAAAGTGCCAAGTAAAGTGTAACCTAAAAATAGAATACACAGCTTTCTTCTCATTCAAGAATGAAGGCAACTGACAGATATTCTCAAACGTGAAAGAATTCGGGGATAATAGGATCCATCTTTCTTTGAAAAATGAGATTTAAAAAGAGCTAATGAACTAGGTAATCCAGATAAGCAGAGGATGAAAGGAACAGTTGTAAAAAGCACTGGTACTAACCCATTGTCATATAGATCTAATGCCACTAAAGGATATGTACATAAAGTCATAAATCCTGATGTGAACAATAATTGTGGGAGGAAAAGGAGATTGTGAAAAGTATAAATATTCTAATTTATTTTATTTCCTTAAAAAGAGTTAATATTGTCTAAAATACATGAATCAAAAGCACATGTTTTAAAAATTTACTAAACAAGAATATAACTGGCAAAACTGGAAGGTGGAGATGGTAGTATAAAGGAGATAATTTTATCATCTTTAGCTTGAGAAGCCAGTCTAAAATTCTGAAGTCAAAACAGTTTCATATACACTCTTGCTCTATTGTTTAACAATGCTTTTGAGTTTTTAAGTATGTCCCATCTTAGTAAACTGTTTGTAGAAAAATTGACTGAAAAGGAGTGTTCCCAACCATAATTCACATAGGGATGATTTTTGGTTTTGTTCATCATAAGATTATTTTACATACATTAATATATTTCAGCAAATGCTTACTTTATAAATCATGGTACTTTTTTTTTAACATTCTTTTTTAAGATTTTATTTATTTATTTGCCAGACAGCGATCATAAGTAGGCAGAGAGGCAGGCAGAGAAGAGGAAAGAGCAGACAGCCCAATGCGGGGCTTGATCCCAGGACCCTGGGATCATGACCTGAGTCGAAGGCAGAGGCTTTAACCCACTGAGCCACCCAAGCGCCCCTAAATCATGGTACTTTTTAAAAATTCAAATTGATGTTTGACTTCAGTAGTGGTTAAAGTTATGTCTGCATCATCTCAAAAGCAGCACTAAAGTGATAGCTGTTTATTTAATGTTAATAAAAATTACATGCCTAGAGCTTATCTCTTTATATGTACTGTAATAATGACAGGTACTATTAAAGTTTATCTACTGTGTAGTTAAACTTTACTTAGTTAACTACCTAAACTTTTTTTAATTAAACTTTACCCTAAATACACTTATTTATATAGGAAAAGTAAGCACAATTGGCTGAAGAGTTACCACATTTATTTCAAGTGATTTCTTATTTTGATTACTTTGTTCTTTCATATAAATTCATCTTATATATAGAAGGACATTTTGTTTACCATTTTATATTTGTTATTCCTCAAAGATTTTTGTATTTCTATTTAGGTGTGAGCTATGTTTTTTACAGTTTTATTTTCTTAATATAGGTATATGACAAAATTTTCTGTGATTTTTTGAAATAAACAGAGTAGCTTACATAAACACATATAAATCATTTATATTTTCCACATTTCTACTAAAAATATCAAAATCTATTTTTGCAAAACAACTTTACTTATAAAATTCATCAGAGATCCATTCTATTAGTTTCAGCCCTGTGTTATGTCCACATGGAAATAGAAAAATAATATAGAGAGAATCTCTCCCCAAATATCTCTTAGTTTATCAACTCAACTACTATTTTTTAAATTATAACATGTAAAAATGTTAACAACTTATCGTGAACTGAATAAATTACAAAACAATACTATTACAGTAGAGTTCTTTTAAATGGCAGAAAACAATCTGAAAAGACAGCAATTATGCAAGAAATTTAAAAAACAATCCCATTTATAACTACATCAAAAAATAAAATAAAATTCCATAGAATAAATTTAATCAAGAGGTGGAAGATCTATATATTAAAAACTATAAGACACTAATGAAAGGAATTTATGAAGACAAATAATTGGAAAGACATTCTGTACTCATGAATTAAAAAA